TTATTTATGGACAACTGAACATTGTATGTGCATGTTTGTGGTATAAAGGGTGTGTGAATGTGTTCTCACCTCTTGGTGGCACGGGTGGTGGGAGAGAGCTAGTCAGACTCTTTCTCTGCTGTATGTTACGGGGCGGCACAGGTGGTGGAACCAACGATGGAGCTTGAAAAAAAAGTAATTAATTAATAAATAATAAAAAATATATTTTCATAGACAAATAAAAAGTTTTTTAATTCATCAAAGATTTTTTTTTTAAATCACAGAGCAGCACGACTGTTAATATTAATAATAAATGTTTCTTGAGCAGCAAATCAGCATGATTTCAGAAGGATCATGTGACACTGAAGACTGGAGTAATGATGCGGAAAATTCAGCTTTGATCACAGGAATAAATTACATTTTAAAACAGAAAACAGTTATTTTAAATTATAATAATATATCACTGTTTTTACTGTGTGAATATAAATATATAACAGTAGGTATTTTTTGGCACACATTCATCAACATGTACTTGAGCATGTTCCTATCATCAGTTTAACACCCACAAAGGATGTGATGTTTTTTTTTTCCATTGAACTATTTCTTTGCAAAGTAACTTTCACCTTCTATTGAATTGAAAGCGTGGTTTCACTACACATTTTTGTCTTTTAAAACCTGCAGCATTGAATCATTATTTTTTGTAAAGCTGTTTTGAAACATTCTGCATTGTATAAAGCGCCAAAGGTGACTCAATCAAATAAAGTTAAATAAAAAAAAATCAGTAAATTCTGCTGTTCTAGTAACATTAAAACAGTAAAGGTAGGATAGGCAATTTCTTTATAAACATTTTTGTTATACTGGTCGAAAACTCTCTTCACAGTCTGATAACAGTTCACTATTGGAAAAACTTTTGCTGATAATTTACTCACCCCCATGTCATCCAAGATGTCCATGTCATTCTTTCCTCAGTAGAAAAGAAATTAAGGTTTTTGATGAAAACATTCCAGCATTTTTCTCCATATGATGGACTTCAATGGGAACCAAGTTTTATAAGCTCAAATGGTCGACTTGCTCGGTTCTGTAATGCGCATTCGTGACTCTCCTGTTCAAACTCGTTCATCAAAATGAACGAATCATTTTCTGAGTCAATTCGTTCGTTGAATGAATCAAATGACTCGGAAAAAGATTTGTTAATTTTGATAAACAAGTTCGAACAGAACAGAGCAAGGCGACCATTTGAGCTTATAAAACTTAAACCTTTTTTTTTTTTTAAATGAGCGATCGTTTCGCTTGATAAGACCCTTATTCATCGTCTGGAATCGTTTAAAGCCCTTTGAACAGTTTGCAGTTTGCACTGAAACTGTCTTTTGGACCTTGAACCGTTTGGTTCCCAATGAAGTCCATTATATGGAGAAAAATCCTGGAATGTTTTCATCAAAAACCTTCATTTCTTTTCGACTGAAGAAAGAAAGACATGGACATCTTGGATGACATGGGGGTGAGTAAATTATCAGCAAAAGTTTTTTGAAAAGTGAACTACTCCTTTAACACTATCAACGCCGCAGTCAGGTGGTACAACTAGATCTCTATAAGTTGTTTACGTTCATTATCATCATAATGTTGTGTTCTTTGAGACATGGGGTAGTTTAACGCCGTCTCTCGTGACGTTTTGCAGACTCTGCTGTGTTTTGAAGGAGGTGTGACTTTGGAGACGCTCTGAAGAGAGAGTGGGATCTTTTCAAAGCTAACTTGCTATTGCTAGCCTCTCCAAAATTACCTACACTACCTTTAAAAAAAGAAAACTCACTCCTCATTTCAAGAAGGCTCACAAATACAGAGATAATACAAGCTTCTTAGGGCCAATCTTCATAAAGCCATGCTAAAGTGAAAAACAATTTACTCACCTGGTTTCGGGGTGAAGGTTACACGGTTGTCGTAAGGATGATCTGAGACAGAATGCGCTCGGGACAGACCACAGGGAAGAGTGGAGGTAATACCTACAAAACATGAGCAATCATGTGGGACAGATGGAGTTATAGACTGACTGACTATGTGTGCAATAAAATATAACAGTACCCCACTACACTATATGGGGCAAGTTGTCACAATTGGACCATGCCTATTTTTAAACACTATTCAATGTTGCTTCAGTAAAACAATTATCAAACACAAAACAATTGAATAGCAACACTTAAAAGGCAACATGTCATTCAATAATATTAAACCAACAAACACTTAAGCACAAACCTGACAATGAATGCAACATAAAAAAACATAGCTAGAGAAAGCTTTGTTACTAAGATGACAACTCCCCCTTGATCAGAATTATCTGATTAGTCTCTCATCAGAATTATCTGAACTCTCTAATAATAAATGTTTGCATCACATACACAGAATATGACTAACCTTGATTTGAGATTTTAGCTTCCTCTTCTGTTAAACTCTCAGACCTCCAGTTACACACAACGTGACTGCAAGCAAACTCCATCTCTGTTGGTGACAGGAAAGTGCTTAAATTATACTTACGTCAAGCTCTAGTTTACAGTAAAGTTAAAATAGAACCCATTACGGCAACACACTTTAAAACAACAACTTCAGAATTCCCTTGTTCACGTTGTGCACACAGATTATGTGTTTCTATGTAGTTTAAAGGCAAGGCTCTAGTTCTTTTCTAAGACTTTCATTTCCTGCTAAAATGGTTCACTTAGTACTTTGATCTCAGTTGCTTAGGGCAGTTACACCTGTGCTAAACACTGTGGTTAAAATTATCTATAAAATCACCCGCATTTATCATTTAAAGGGATAGTTCACCTAAAAATGAAAATGTCGTCATCATTTACTCACCCTCAAGTTCTTCTAAAACTGACTGTATGACTTTCTTTCTCTCTTATGCACACAAAATAATATATTTTGAAGAATGTCGGTAACCAAACAGTTGATGGACCCCATTGACTTCCATAGTAAAAATTAATCAAACTATGGAAGTCAATTAATTGGGTCCATGACGTAATTTTTATTTTTGTATGAACTATACACTATCCCTTTAAGGAATACGAGTATGTGGTGAGACTTTTATCCATCACCGTCTCCTTTATTTTTTTTTTTTCTGTTCCTTGCAAGAGTTTTCAGAAACCAACCATTGTCTCATATCATATAGCCATATAAGATGTACAAACATGTCAAAATGACCGAGGTATTGAAAACAACTGGTCACACATGGTAATACAGCATGATAGAAACAGTCTACTAATCGCGAGGGCTTAGTATGAAAGTGCCTACCTGGTTACGGACGGCAATTCAAAATGAAGTGTCCGACTGGCATTCAGCTTGCATTGAAAGCCAGCTACACTACGGTCCTGCTCTTCTCACACATACCTACTGTGCACGACTGTGCGCGTGAAGATACAGGAAGTCAGGAAACTGTGGGTAGCTAAGACTAGAAGAAAAGAAACGAAAGAAATAAAGGAACGAAAGAAGTTGCCCGCCTCAGATGTCTTAAAGTGTTTTCTTGCCTATGTCCTCCATCACCAACGTAGACTTTGACTCGTATGTCAGACTTACATTATAAAGATATAAATGCAGGCATTAAACAGTAACAGCAGTGCAGTGTGATTCTTGCTTTCTTGATTCACCGTTTATTGTAAATAACTCATCACACTTACGTCACACCATATCAAGGCTCAATACGGGATTGTCAAGTTCCTTCCGTTGACGTGTGAACCTTGTTTTATGCAGTATGAACAACATTAAGTTGTGTGGGTGTGAGCCGTAATACTTATCATGTTGGGGGAATAGACATCACAATATGCACCACAGATGCATAAGGTTTCCTCTGTGTATATCTTTTATTTTATTTTTTTATTTATTATATATATATATATATATATATATATATATTATTTATATATATATACATAGAAAGAGTCTTTATATACAGAGAAAGAGTCATGCAGGTTTCAAATGACATGAAGGTGAATAAATGTAATATAATTTTTTTTTAAAAAAATTGGTTGAGAAAACTATACTATAACATCTGATTATTCAAAATGATGTCATCACAAACTAAAATACAACATTTTTTAATGTTTTTATTAGTTAAACATATTCATTTTACAAATTCATAATTAATACTGCATTTGAAATTACGTTGTTACAACATTTAGTGTTAAATCGACCCTTTAATGAGGCTAATTTTGGAATTAAAACTTATTAATCCCTATTAATTTATTAAAAGCTTATTAATTTTAATAAATAAAATTATTAATTAAAAAATAAATAAAAAGCTTATTAATTTAAAAACAACAGTTTTTAAAAAAGCCCTCCTGCTTTTACAATGTTTGGTCTCAGTCACTATTATTGTTTCATTAATGGTAGTGTATTGATGGATTATTTATTCAGTATTTCCACCATTTTCATTAAAACTGAAGAGTGTAAATTCTGCTGAGCTAGTGGCACTAAACTGCATCACAAAAAAAGACCATTTTAAACAGGTTTCAGATGCACACAATTGATTGAGCCAGTATTTCTATGTTCATCAAGAACATCTGAATGCTGAAAATACAGCAGAGCCACAGTTTTACACTCTTCAGGAGTGTGTCAACTTATATCACATTTAACCGGGATCAGAGAAAGTATTTCAACGGTTTTCAAATCATTCACATCTTTGAAGATCTGCACAAATCGATGTTAGCAAACCTTTGTGTTTTTTTACCAGCCTTTTGCTTTACTGTTCCCTAAAGTGCCCCTATTATGCTTTTTCTAAAATTACCAAACTACTTTTGACCCTCAAAAACTGTAGTTGTAGCTGAGGCCTGAAAGAGTTTGGTTCATGTTGTCGAAAAGATTATGTTTTCAGCGTAGCAAATCCACTTTGATGAACCTAGAGAGAGACTAAATCTTAAATTCAAAGGAACCGGTTTCAAAATATGGAGATGTGAAATATATAATATAATGATAATTTTCTTATTTTTTTTACCTTGCATGCATGTAAACACTATTGTAGGAGACATCCAAAATAAAATGGCATAATAGAGGCACTTTGAGAATCTGCATATTGTTAACTCTCCGCCTTCAAAGAATGGAGTATGGCCCTCAGTATGGCGGCTACCGCCACGGCCCCAGGGTCAGGCTGGGTCAAATGCTCAGACGCAACGTAACTGGCACGTCCAGCCCTTGCAGTGAGACTGCGTGTAGATTCGGCTCCCACATCTGCTTTCTGTTACAGATAGATATGCAAGAGGCTAATATCATAGATGCAAGAAATTATGAGAAAGCAAAAAATTGCCATTTATAAAGTGATAGTCCATACCTCCACTGCTGCTTGTAGTATCGCCATGTGACCATCGGGAGGTGCTGTGGAAAGTTTCATCAACTCCTCCACAGCAGGGCATAGGGCATCAAGCTAAAAGATAACACAGAGGGTCAGTTTCGTCAATGATTTGCAGGTATTGAAAGATTTGATTTAATAAAACGTTAAGACTTGCAGGTTAATTAATGCCCAAGCAGATTAATCATTGATACATAGATATAAACGGTCAGTAGTGTTTGCTAATAGCCTACACATATTTATCCAAAACACTGATCATGTGCATTCAGTAAACTATTCGGGTAAACAGGGAACTACACTTCTATTCAAAAAGTAAGTAAAAGTTGCACTTTTAATCAGCAAGGATGCATTAAATTGGTCAAAAGTCAGAGTAAAGACATTTATAATGTTAAAAAAGTCCAAAATAAATATCAGTTTCCACAAATATATTATTATTATCAATGTTGGAAACAGTTTTGCTGCTTAATAAGAAAGTTTTTTGAGCACCAAATCTCAAATTTCAAACACCTGAAGGATCATGAGACTGGAAAAAATGATGCTGAAAATTCAGCTTTGACTTTTTTTAAATCACACAAAAAAAAAAAAAATCACAATACTACTGTTTTCACTGTATTTTAGGTCAAACAAGGGCAGCCTTAGTGAGCAGAACACATAAAAAAATCTTCAGATTGATTTTTTTTTCTTTTGAACGGTTGTGTAATTCATATGTTAACTAATACGCTTTTACTATTTTCTAATTTTCTAAGATTAGAGATTTCCAATTTGTGTGCAACAATGATTAAAACTAGAATATTCCTGTGTCAATCATACCATGGTCCGATCACCTGGTTCAGCACCTCCATATCTGTCGGAAAAAAACCAAGGAATAAACTTGCAATAGAATGACACACATCTTTATACTTTGTAAATTTGGCAACGTGTATATTCGAATATACTGAGAATACTAAAGTATGAGGGAAAACAACTGAGAATGAGTTCATTTATTATTGGTTTCCCTGACAGTGAACGGTGAAGTACAACATCGACCTAAATCAACATCTTTGTTGATCCTGGAACATCTTTCCAATCAACCAATCAGATTTAAGGGACAAGTTTACAGATTATGTCACGTTTAGGGTTACAACCAGTGTTAGGTGCTTCTACAACAATGTTATTCACCATCATTTTAGTGATAACTTATGGGTATAGAGTTAGAACACACCTGACTTGGCAAAAAAAATAAATAAAAAAAAATAGGTCACTCACCTTTTCATGGCCTCGGTCCCAGCATGCAATGCCTTGGCCCAAGCAGCACCATCACTGTTTTGTTTGAGATGAGGGGCGGCCGCAGACAAAAACAAGCAATATAACTGTGGAGAAAAAGTAAACGGATCATTTGATGATTTCATGAGAACGATATTTCAGGTGTGTTCACACTTGGCATGTTTGGTTCGATTTAAACAAACCCTGGTGCGATTGCTCTGTTAGTGTGGTTCATTTGAAAAAATGTGATCGTTGCTCTCTGAACCCTGTTGCCACCAAACAAGCGGACCGAGACGCTGGAAATATGGGTCTCCGTCCACTTCAAATCAAACTCTGATGCGGTTTGACTGAAAAATGGACCAAAGACATAAACGAACCAAAAACAGGACATGATGTCACAAGATGCGACCCTAAAAGAACAGAATGGTTCTTCTCCATTACAGAAATCCTGTCTCCTTGCAGTAGATCTTCATTTAATGCAATAGAAGAATTCCTGCTGTTAATTTGGACTCCTTTACACATTAGCTCTTCGCGAGTTCTCAGCTGCTCAAAATACCACCATATTTAGTCTTCACACATATAATGACTGTGTTTAGCCCAGCACAGCATTGCTTTGGATGTTTGGTAAGTTCGGTCACAGAATATACGCCATAAAAAACATTTTTTTTGTTTTGTATGTTTAGGTTCAGTGTTAAAAAAAGACAGTGTGAACGCTAGGACTAAATGTATACACTGGTACAGAGCAGACAAACAAACCAAGAGAGCCGCACTACAAGTGTGAACACACCCTTAAAGGGATACTCCACTTTTTTTGGAAATATGCTCATTTTACAACTCCCCCAGAGTTAAACTGTTGAGTTTAACTTTTTTGAATCCATTCAGCCGATCTCCGGTTCTGGCAGTACCACTTTTAGCATAGCTTAGCATACATCATTGAAGTGCACAAGACCATTAGCATTTGTCCCAGAGTGTTTCGATATTTTTCCTATTTAAAACTTGACTCTTCTATCGTGCACTAAAACAGACGGAAAATGTAAAGTTGCGATTTTCTAGGCTGATATGACTAGGAACTATACTCTCATTCCTGCGTAATAATCAGGAAACTTCAATGCCGTACCATGAGTGCAGCAGGCGCGATCATAGATAGATATCTATATAAAGGCTAGATATGTCGTCCACGCTGCTGGCCAATGGAGGTCGACGTCTACACCTGGCGGCCATCTTGTCACAGGCAGCTCGCTCACTCGTAACATTGTGTTAATGGTACATGTACTATTTAAATGACCATAACTTGCTCAATTTGACCGATTTTCAAACGGTTTGTTTTGTTATAAACGTCTGAGATGTAGTTATGACACTGCATACTTATGAATAAAAAGTGTATAAATAAATAATCATCCAGAATTATAGCCACGTTAATAACGTTTGTAAGAAACCAAACCGTTTGTAAATCCGTCAAGATGTCAACGAGATAAGAGTATTTGTGTTCGTGCTGACCACTCATCTTACATCAGCTTGTCTGTGACAAGATGGCCGCCGGTGATGACGATGGAAACTCCGCCGCCCGTAACACATCTAGCCTTTATATACATATCTATGGGCGCGATGACTACACAAACTTAGTCCCGGTCACGTTGGAAGCTGGGGACTATTTTCAGGCGCTGCGTCATAACTTTGTGCCTGCTGCACTCATGGTACGGCATTGATGTTTCCTGATTATTACGCAGGAATGAGAGTATAGTTCCTAGTCATATCAGCCTACATTAACATTTTCCGTCTGTCTTAGCGCACAATGTAACTATAGAAGAGTCAAGTTTTAAATAGGAAAAATATCAAAACACTTTGGTAATTTTTTTGGGAGAAATGCTAATGGTCTTGTGCACTTCAATGATGTATGCTAAGCTATGCTAAAAGTGGTGCCGCCAGAACCGGAGATCGGCTGAATGGATTCAAAAACGGTAAAACTCAACAGTTTAACTCTGGGGGAATTGTAAAATGAGCCTATTTCCAACAAAAAAGTAGAGTATCCCTTTAAGCCCTGATCACACCAAGGACGATAACTAACTAAAATCATTCTACATATTAAAAATAGCAGAGTTCACACCACAACTATAATGATAACAGGAGAAAGGAATGATATCATTGGAATCACTTTAATAAAAATAAATTCCAGCTGATGAACGATAAAAACATTGACAGCCAATCAGAATCCAGCAGACTTAAGAGCTGGAGCATTTGAAGCAGCAGATGATTGCAGTGTGCGCTTTGAATAAACAGAACAATATCAACACATTCACATACCGCCCCTGATGATCCTCCCATCCTTTCCTGGACCAGCAGACCCAGATCTTCTAGAAGCTGGCCAAGGTTTCCAAGGATCCTGCTGGTCTGGAGCCACTCCTGAATGGCTAAACATTTTATGGTAACACTTTACAATACGGGTGCACAAATATGCATTAATTCATCCTTAACTAATGCACAGATAATTAATGCACAGAAAGTTAATGTATAACTCATGAAGAACTAAACCATTAATTAATGATTACTACATCAGCAACTAATAAAGAGTCTATATGATTAATAGATTAAGTAATACATGAATTGCTAATAATTCAATGCGTCATTGTGTATTAATTCCTTAATAACATATTTTATTAACTAATAGTGTAAATTAATGTGCTAATTGCCACAATTAGTCAAAGTTATTCACTTCAACTTCCAGTTGTCTGCTTTAATTAATCATTAGCTAATGATTTGCAAAGATATCATTATGTTATGACTTTACTTGTTGGGGCACATCATTATTAACTAGTCATTTAGTACTTTGCACATGAATTTGCACTAACAATGAAGTTATTAATGCATATTAGTGTACCTGTCATATTATCTGGAAGTTGAAATACAAGGCTCTGGCTCATTCTGGTAATTAACATATTAATTAGCACTATTAGTTAAAAAAATGAGTTATTATGGAATTAATCCACAATTACATTTTTAATTAATAACAATTCATGTATGAACTAATACATTAACCTTACAAACTCTTAATTAGTTCCCAATGTGGTAATCATTAATGAATAGCTTAAATAATCATTAGTTACACATTAATTCAGTATTATCTGTGCATGCTTATTAGTGCACACGTATTGTAAAGTGTTACCCATTTTACTAACATTATATATTTGAACACAAAATTAAGCAATATGTTGGTTTAAATAATATGTGTGCACTGTTTAAATGTGGATACCATTTGCTAAAAGAGCATGTGTGCTCCCACAATCTCCATCCCCTGCTGCGCGGTCCAAAGCATTGAGTTCCTCTCGGCGCTGCAGGAGGATCTTACACACGGACTCCAAAACCCGGCGAATGACGGAAGAAAGCGAGCCTGTGAAGCAGCACCAATGTGTCGATGAAGTGCTTCAGGTGTTTCAGTTAATATACAATCCTGTTCAAGTAAGATTTTTCAAATACTTTCAGCAGAGATGCATTAAATTGACATTTGTAATGTTACAAAAGATGTCTATTTCAATGCAGTTCTTTTGAACTTTCTGTTCATTAAAGGGATAGTTCACTTTGAAATTAAGTTTTAGCTTACCTCAAGGGCATCCAAGATGTAGGTGTCTTTGTTTCCACAGTATTTTCAATTTTGATATTTTTAGGTCAAACCGTTCTTGTCTATCAGTCATATAATGGAGGTCTATGGTCACCACCTCAAAGAGCATGCACAGAGAAGTCCAAATTAAACATGATTTAACGACTCGTAAATGTAAGTACACATTGATGGCCTAAGACAGTCATCATATATGTGATGTATACATCATATAACATCATTATATGACTGACAGAGAAGAATGGTTTGACCTAAAAATATCAAAATTGAAAATAATGTGGAAACAAAGACACCTACATCTTGGATGCCCTTGAGGTAAGCTAAAACATACCAAAAATGAATTTCAAAGTGAATTATCGCTTTAAAAAAATTCTGATTTACCTTTACCATCATAGGAATAAATTACAGTTTAAAATATTAAAATAGAAAACAGCTACTTTATTTCTAATATTTCACAATATTACTGTTTTTACTGTATTTTTTTTTTAAATAAATGCAGCCTTGGTAAAAATAAGAGGCACCAACAACGATAATGATAAAGATATAGTTCTAAATATATAAGAATAGCAGAGTCCACACCACAACTATAAAGATAACGGCTGAGAGGAATGATAATCACTTTCAGAACAATTTCTTTTTCAGCTAATAAGCGATAAAAACATTGACAGCCAATCCGAATCCATCCTGCTTTCAGAGCTCGAGCAATTAAAGCGGCAGACGACAAAAATGCAGCACAGTTATAATAAACAGATTGACATTGTCTGCTGTTGTAGACGCTAATATAGTTGATAGTTTTATAGGCCTAAGACTTACACTGGCCCCAAGATTTTAAACAGTTGTGCATTTATATTACTTTATTAGTAGTAAAATATTTACCCATGCCAATTATGTATTATAAAGAATTTATGTATAGTATTAGTTTAATAATTACACTAAAAATAACAAAGAAACTGAGGCATATATAACTGACATTTGAAAAATGTAATTTTTGCACTCTTCTCTACCTTCATGATATTGATCTGAAGCTGCGGCAGGTTTTTCTGCAGGTTCAATGAACAGGTTCCTCCCGCTCACAGAGGTCATGCTGAGGTTAGGCCAGGCCGGTGCGGTGGTTTTAGCATCTGAGAAAGACAAATCAGTGACACTTCCCATACACTGCACTATATACTAATATATATACTAATATATATATATATATATATATATATATATATATATAGTCAAGACAATCTTATTTATATAGAGTAAATTCTCTACACCTGCATTCATTTCAGAGTATACTGGTAATTTTAACATCTTAAAGATGCTGTGTGTAGTGAAACTTTGTTCATGTGTTTAAAGAGTAACTAAACACTAAACCAACTTTTTTTAGTTAATGATCTGTAAGAATGGATCTTTATTAATACCAGTCATTGATTCGAGTAACTTTTTTGACATTTGTTTATAAAGTGTTTTATTACTACAATATATGGTGTAAAAACGTCTTAGTGCTGCCCTCTTCAGGTTGAACGGTGGCTACTGCAGTTGAATTTTCCTATTGGATGTTCTGCATTTTGTGACGTACGCAGGTTTCAGCTCACCATGCGAGCTACACCCTTGGCAGTATAAAAACCATCTTGTGTCGTCAAAACCACTGTAGCGAGTCAAGAATTGGAATTGCGAGTATTGAAAACGATCAGGATAGAGTGTTTTAGCATCTATTTCATCCCTTATATCTCCGCTGGGGTCTGCCCACTTTTTCAGCATTTTCAAATATTGCCAGTGGGTGGAGTCAGGCTCTGACCAGGGGTTTAGTTACCCTTTAATATACATTTCAGCTCTGTCATATTAACTCTTTTTCTGAACCAATGATTTCAATGTCATCCAGGTTGAAACTGGATTTAAAGAGAACACACCAAACAGTCGGAGCATCTCTTCATCAACCTTCATTAAAGAAACAGACATTCCCGCCATCTCCAGTGATGTCATGAACGATCCGGACATCACCCTGACAACCAGCACACCACGCTCCTCTGAAAAGGAGAATCGAATCAGAAACAGAATAAATAGTATAATTAAATGCAAATATTAGGATATAACAAGATCAATTATTCAGTTCTATATTATTTTGTAATGTTTTAATCTAGCGTTGTGCTACTTGAGTCTCACCTAGGCAGTGTACAGCTGCTTTGCAAACCACAGCTATTTCCAAACATGAAAGAGCACCAAGATTATTCACACACAGCACCACCTTGTCTCCTGTTAGACAAATACATTTTTGAATACACATTCATGTAAATGCACAGCCTCAGAATCAACCCTGTGCTGACCAGTTACACATCATACCTGACTTCAGGGACAGATGCGATTTGTTTGAGGAATCAGTCATGTGACTTATTACAGTTTGCACAACTTCATCGGCAGAGGCCACCTGAAATAAATCAAAACCATCAATCTCTCAATACTCTTTATTGTAGGATTGGATGAACGGCAGTTCGAAAAGACTCACTTTTGATCTCTTAATACCTGGTTCTCCATGGATCCCTATACAAATAAATATAGTGTACATTTTAATATGTAAATATAGTATATAAACACTAAATGTTTGGAATAAGTAAGATTTAAGAAAAAAAAGGATTTGACATGCAAGAACACATGAAGTTGATCAGCAAAAGACATTTAAAAATGTTACAAAAGATTTATTTTTAAAATAAATGCTGGTTTTTTTTTGCTGTTCTATTTATTACGTGTCATGAAAAAAAATGTATCACGTTAAGCAGCATATCTGTTTTCAACATTGATAATAATAATAAATGTTTCTTGAGCAGGAAGGATCATGTAACACTGAAGACTGGAGTAATCATGCTGAAAATGCAGCTTTAATCACAGGAATAAATGACTTTTTAAAATAATATATTCATATAAAAATTATTTTAAATTCAATTAAAAAATCTTAATATTACAGTTTCAACTGAAATATTGTTTAAATGAGTGTATATACAAATATAATATATATTTCTGGCAAATCGATTAATCTTATCTAACAAAGGTTTGTGAAATATATATATATATATATATATATATATATATATATTAGGGCTGTGCAAAGATTAATTGTGATTAATCGCATTCAAAATAAAAGTTTGTGTTTACATAATATATGTGTGTGTGCTGTGTATAATTATTTTGTGTATATATATATATATATATATATACACACACACACACACACACACACACATGCATGTATATATTTAAGATAAAGTATGTAAGAAAAATGTATATTTAAAATATTTATATATAATATAGATTATGTATTTCTATATATACAGTATTTAGGTGCAATTCTTAAATATATACATGCAAGCATGTGTATTTCTATAAACAAAATAATTATACACAGCACACACATATATACTATGTAAACAAACTTTTATTTTGGATGAAGAATCAATTTGACAGAACTCATATATATATATATATAAAACTGCTGTCAAATCGATTAATTGTAATTAAAAATGCACATAAACGCTATATACACGTATTTACTGCTACATAAAATAATTAATTTTTAAATCATTTCTAATCTTTACTCTTTTTGTTATAGATCTCTCTTACCCAGTCCTAACTCCATCTCTCCTGGTGGAAGCTGGAAAGATGGAAGGCATCCGGGAACACTGCAAGGAGACAGACTAATGCCCAATGTTCCTGTTAAAACAACAATATATATGATGCCAGTGTGTGTGTGTGTTTATATATATATATATACACTCACCGGCCACTTTATTAGGTACCCCATGCTAGTAACGGGTTGGACCCCCTTTTGCCTTCAGAACTGCCTCAATTCTTCGTGGCATAGATTCAACAAGGTGCTGGAAGCATTCCTCAGGGAGTTTGGTCCATATTGACATGATGGCATCACACAGTTGCCGCAGATTTGTCGGCTGCACATCCATGATGCGAATCTCCCGTTCCACCACATCCCAAAGATGCTCTATTGGATTGAGATCTGGTGACTGTGGAGGCCATTTGAGTACAGCGAACTCATTGTCATGTTCAAGAAACCAGTCTGAGATGATTCCAGCTTTATGAAATGGCGCATTATCCTGCTGAAAGTAGCCATCAGAAGTTGGGTACATTGTGGTCATAAAGGGATGGACATGGTCAGCAACAATACTCAGGTAGGCTGTGGCGTTGCAACAATGCTCAATTGGTACCAAGGGGCCCAAAGAGTGCCAAGAAAACATTCCCCACACCATGACACCACCACCACCAGCCTGAACCGTTGATACAAGGCAGGATGGATCCATGCTTTCATGTTGTAGACGCCAAATTCTGACTCTACCATCCGAATGTCGCAGCAGAAATCGAGACTCATCAGACCAGGCAAGGTTTTTCCAATCTTCTATTGTCCAATTTCGATGAGCTTGTGCAAATTGTAGCCTCAGTTTCCTGTTCTTAGCTGAAAGGAGTGGCACCCGGTGTGGTCTTCTGCTGCTGTAGCCCATCTGCCTCAAAGTTCGACGTACTGTGCGTTCAGAGATGCTCTTCTGCCCACCTTGGTTGTAACGGGTGGTTATTTGAGTCACTGTTGCCCTTCTATCAGCTCGAACCAGTCTGGCCATTCTCCTCTGACCTCTGCCATCAACAAGGCATTTCCGCCCACAGAACTGCCGCTCACTGGATGTTTTTTCTTTTTCGGACCATTCTCTGTAAACCCTAGAGATGGTTGTGCGTGAAAATCCCAGTAGATTAGCAGTTTCTGAAATACTCAGACCAGCCCTTCTGTCACCAACAATCATGCCACGTTCAAAGTCACTCAAATCACCTTTCTTCCCCATACTGATGCTCGGTTTGAACTGCAGGAGATTGTCTTGACCATGTCTACATGCCTAAATGCACTGAGTTGCCGCCATGTGATTGGCTGCTTAGAAATTAAGTGTTAACGAGCAGTTGGACAGGTGTACCTAATAAAGTGGCCGGTGAGTGTATATATATATATATATATAGCATAGCACAGTGGTTGGATTTTCACAATTGAAACAAATTTCCTTCAGTACTGCAACATTTAAGCTATAACAACCGAAATGGTACTATGCTGGTCTTTCTCACCAATGTTTTTTGTTGCTTTGTTCACCCATGCAACAATTTCATCCAAAGGACAGCCTTTCTCTGCTAGAGCGCCAGCTAGCTAAAAAGAAAAATGGCATTTATTAAAAAAAAAAAGATTAATATAGCCATGTTAAGCTCATTCTGGTACCTTATGAATGAACACAATTCCACACAAGCCTCTCCTGCCGGCCTTGCTGGGCTGAGCGAAGGCGCAGTCATCGCCCACAATCACCATGTCCGCCTGGACGCCCTGCGATCTGGCCTGTTCGACAGCTATGCCAAAGTTTAGACGGTCACCCGTGTAGTTCTTCACGATGAGCAGGACTCCTGAAGCACCTCCCTTCCACAGAGTCAGGATGGCAGCCAGGACACTTCCCGGAGGAGGAGAGGCGAACACTGCTCCCGCCACAGCTCCGGACAGCATCCCCATGCCAATGTAACCTGAAGGAGAGTGAAAGTAGCTCAAGTACAACAAAAGCACTAGCAACACCAAGTTCATAGGGTCAATACCCAGGGAATTCCCTTAAAAAAAAAAAAAAAAAAAAAAAAAAAAATGTTTTTAAAGAAGTCGCTTATGCTCACCAAGACTGCATTTTTTCGATTGAAAATACAGTAAAACAGTAATATTGTGAAATATATTTTCAATTTAAAAGAACTTTCAATTTTTTTCATATATTATAAATATAATATAATCATTATACATGTCTTTACTGTCACTTCTGGTCAATTTAATGTGTTCTTTCTGAAATAAAAGTACAAATTTCCAACAAATCTTTTCTTAAAGAAAAAAAAAATCTTACTGACCCCAAACATTTTAAAAGTAGCCTAGCGTAAATGCTATAAAAATGGATTATGGTTACCACAAACCTTACTTTAGTTATTGTTAATATTGTAAACAAATCTCCTCCAAACTGTATAAGAAACTTTCATAATCATCATCTTTGTCATTGTAATTTCTTTCTTTGTTACTGTAATGTCTAAGGACCAAACAGGAATGCATTTATGATACAATGTATTAAAATTATACAGTATCATATTCCCTCTTTGTGTGCACAGGGCTTTACATTAATGTTTCAGGTGACCTAAAAAGTGCATCATCTAAAAGAACCTGTTATTCAAGTCAAAAATATAATTTAAAATTTCCAAATAACAACAAATTACAGCAAATGTAATTTCAATAACTAACATCCTATGTTATTCTTCTTCTTTTAAATTCAGTTACGAACATACATAGCACACTAGAGAAGGGACTGTTTCACACGCATTACCTGCATGTGCGGGTTCATGGCCAGATCCTCCTCCGGACAGCAGAGCTACCTTTCCCTTAAAGATGAACTGAACTGAAAAAAATCGACGATGAAAACGTGTTGTTTATGACAATTAAAAGTAAATTACACTAAACATTTTAATAAAAAATATTAATATAGCTTTTTATAAGCAACGCAAAATTGCGCTTGTTAGCGCTGGCAATTTCGATGACGTCACTGGCATGGTAGGACCCGCGGAGCTCCATAGGCAACAGCTGCAGGTCCTGTATACACAGACGAAAATGAGCACTTTTAACGGCATGGATTACGCATTTGAGCCCGCGAGGGACAGGCTGGTAGTGTCTGACGACCACCACATGGAGGACGATCAGTTTTAGGCTTCACTTACAGTACAGGATCGTTTGGGGGGAAGTCACTGTGGGCGCGAGCGCTGTGGAGTATGTATACTGCACAGGAGTCGATCTGTTGCAGAGAGGTCAACCTGGAACATTTATTGATCGGCGAAAAATGCATCACCATGCACCGTTCATTTCGGATGCTGTTCGGTGAGAGAAACGTGTTGGGGGAGGCTATGCTGTCTATAATGGATGTCCGAGCTGAGACGCGAGCGCCCCATCAGTAGCAGGGTATTTTACGAATAGGCGACAAGGCTGGGATAACTTGTTATACTTTTCTCAGACTGTTTAGATTAACAGCGTACTGGCAGTTCACTCTATGGTCGAGGGTGCATTTAGAAAGGAGAATCCCATCCTTTACCGTGAACTATACATCAGGAATCTTTTCCCCTCAGCCGAATATCAAGGATTCGTGTAACGTTAACGTGATGTGTTGAACTTGTAACTTGTGTAAATAAAACATTTAATGCAGACATTGTCAGACGTTTCATGTACTCATTGACGAAAGTACATATCTCTAGATAGTGTGTCGCTAAAAATTCTGTTTCTTCAGCCATGTCAGCGCGCCTCAGACTGTTTACAAGCTACGGCTGTTCTGCTGGTGCGGGTAGGCAACGGAGTGTCTTACCATGCCAGTGACGTAGTCGAATGTTGAAATCCAACATGGCGGCGCCCGTGTAACAAAAACAACACTTTCAATGTACCATTTTATCCCTTTTAACAAATTATGCAATTTTAAAAATTGTACCAATGATAATTAATAAAATACATCTGTTATGTCACCTTTTTTCAAATTTCAGTTCAGTTCATCTTTAATGCTCTCCAGATCGGACCGCAGCACCACTCTGTGCCCCCGCAGCAGCGCCAGACCCCCGGTACTCCTGACGAGACCCTCCAAAGCCTCGTCCACACACTTCTCGACCGAGTTCAATAATTTACTCCGCACCTGCTCCAACCGTATACAAATAATACATTTCAATTCAAACATTCGCATGTCACTGTCACAACTGAACAGTTGTGTCGAAACCATATGCTTTGCACAATCAACATGTAAGTAAACAAGTTTATTACAATATTCCCACTGGAGACACCGTTACATACCTCCATTACGCCTGCAATCAGTGTACAACCTTCGTCCTTTGACCACTTCCGCAAACTTGCGTGACGATGACGTCACGAGCCCCGCTGCAGACCACGAGCGCTCATCTCCAATTTATATATTTTTTAACTCTTTCCCCGTCATTGACGGAATTTTTCAATAATTGTTCCGCTATTTATGAGACGACTATGGAAGATTGTTTCCACCACTGACACAAATAAAGATATTTTTGATGCAACCTGAGCGATTTGATTTCTGTCCCTAGATTGACTGGTACGCAACTATAGCCTACCAATTTGAAGCTTCAAAAAGTTCATAAAGACATCATAAAACGAATCCATATGAATTGAGCGGTTTAGTCCAAATTTTCTGAAGATACACAATCACTTCATGTGATGAACAGACTGAATTTACGCTTTTATGTAGCCTACATAAACATTCAACTCACACATCAGTTGTGGTAAATGTACGGTTGTGCGAGAACCAATGAGGTTCATTCTCGTGTTGCTTCAACAAGAAGAGGGTTGTTCCCTTTCAGCTCGGTCATGTTCAAGGTACCGTACAGGGTTGAGTTTCCCGAAAGCATCGTTAGCCAAGCTTGGTCGCAAGTTCAGTCGTTCAGAGAGAGAGTTCAATGGAAATTGCAACCAAGTTGCGACGATGGTTGGCTACGATGCTTTCGGGAAACGCACCCCTGATCGTGCAAGATTTTTATCTCGCGCTCCGCCTCGCAGCGCGGGTATAAGGTATAAATACAGAAGCAGATGCATGCACCATTTGTCTTTCGCATCAGAGCCGATCGGCCTTATAACGTTGATTGATGTCTCTGAAGAGAGTTGGTATGTTTAACAAGCGAGTGTGTCGGTGCTGTGCTTCTTCTGGAATAAGTCTCAGTCTTCTGGAGATCATAAGCTTCTGAGCTCTCAACTACTGTTTTAACAGCATTCTTTGTGTTTGTTTGATGTTAGAGGGTAAAGAAGCGAGTGCTTCAGTGCTACACACTCGTAGAAGAAATGGTTCTATTTAGAACCAGAAATTGTTCCATCCCCCGCTTCATATATGGAACTCCAAAATGGTTCTATATAGAACCAATTTTTTGGTAAAAGGTTCTATTGGCCAAGTATGGAACCCCAGGGTTCTATATAGAACCCAGAGGAACCCTTTTTTAAGAGTGTATAGAACCTTTTACCAAAAAAAAGGTTCTATATAGAACCATTTTGGAGTTCCAAATACGTAGCGCTGATAGAACCTTTTAAGGTTCTATATAGAACCTTTTCTTTTAAGAGTGGCAGGCTGCACCATCCCCTGTCAGTTTTGCCATGGTCATTCCCCTGTGTGCTCCGGCACTGGTAAAGAGTTTAAGATGCCATTCCACCGGGGGTTTCTGTGTGTGGTTTTTCCCTCTCCCCATCTGATAGTCCAGCCCGATCTCATGAAAGTTCGTATCTATGGCACGAATGTCATTTCTCGTGGCATTTATACGCCAAAAACAGTTTTTGCATGTATTTGGCAAATAAACCTCCCCCCTAAACCTAACCCAGGGTTTTTTAGTGCGTACCATATACACGAAAAAAACACATTTGGCGTATAAATGCCACGAGAAATGACACTCGTGGTATAGATACGCATCTTCATGAGACTGTGTTGGATAGTCACAATAGATGCATCACGAGTTTGGGCATTAAGCAGCTTTGTGGATGGCTCATATTCTCATTGCGGGAACATGACTATCTCGGTGTTGAGATCGAGACTCGCCTTCATTCGTGATGACAAACCGGGTCGAGCTACCGAGCAATACCGAATATTGTGCAGTGCCTGGTTGTGGAAGAAGACAGTGGCTGCATAAGCTTCCTCTGGATTTCAATAGGACTGCATGGATAAACTTTATTTTTAATGACGTGCAGCTGATGAAAACATCGTCGTCTGTTCGCTTCATTTCACTGAGGATTGTCCTGTAAACAAGACTGGATTTACAGCCCGATTGAGACTAAAGAACGGAGCTGTGACGTCTATATTGGATCTGACAGGAATTGTGCAACACACAGACTCTGGGTCGAACATGTATGAGCGAATCATTCTGGTTGCCATTTTACAACATTGGACGTTTTCAAATCAATTTCCCCCTGGTGTATCGAGGGGTGAGTCGAAACTCATTATTATATGCAAAACTCACAGCAGTGGGCGTTTACTTCCAAATCTTCAGTGTGAGACGCCCATAAAAACCGAGCGTTTTTCAGCTGGGCTCAAAACTAGGGTACAAAATAGCCTATTACTTATTCATTTTGATGTTTTTGAATGCAAAAAGCAAGCGAACGTCATAAGTTGACCTCAGACAACAATATAATAAAATTTAAAAAGCCAGTTCATGACCCCTTTAATCCCAATAATCTCATTTGAATCCTGCCTTTATTTTTGTGTGGATGTAATGCATGACCACTTATTCTCAAGTGTATGTTTGTAAAAACAATAATAATAATCAAAATAATAATATGCTTATAGTAAAGTACTCATATCCACTTTTTGCTCTCTTTATTATTAAATTACAATTTACTACATCAGCTACATAACTAAGCACATATCTAATTTACCCAACATTGATGTTCTTCATTATTCATATAGATGTATATTGTATATATTTACCAGATCATTACGGTCAAAGTGTTTACTTAATGCAAACATATGAACAAACCTAACAAAGTTATATTTGAAGAAACTTTGCAAAGGACTACATTTGTTTTAAACAAAGGCCCCCACATTATGGTTAATCTTTTCTAGTGAATGGCAATTTCTTTTTCTTGGACAGAAAGAGAAGAGATTGCATTACACTGCTTGGTCGCATTAGCCATAAATTGATGCCCACTAGCAGGCAAAAATTAAATACTGGAAAACTTTCATTTATAGTAACGTATAGGTAAAATTCCAGGCCATATGGAACAGAGATGCAAACTAGAATGCCAGTGATAATTACAAATGCCCTCTTTTTCTGGTGGTGCATCCCTTCCTTCTGTGTTTCACCAGGACTTGGTCTCAACAGGATCTTGAGCACTCCTAGACTACAAGTAGTGATCACCAACAGGCTGATTGATAGGGAACAAGCGAAGACCTCAATTTGGGTGTGTGGACTGTAAACAGATAGACCTCCATAAACCACACTCAGCATCCAGACCAGTCCAGCACTAATATATCTGTGCTTCACAAAGGCTGGGTTGCGGTACATCGCTGGATGAGCCACGGCTATGTAACGCTCAACACAAATCAAGCTGTTCATAAGGGGTCGTCCAACCAGGTAGCTTCCAGAAAATAACATAGCAATGAACAGTGCGTGTTTATAGTCAATGTGTTCAGTAACCATAATAATGCAATAAAGTACCATCACAAAAACCTCTAGTGCAGAAAGGTTCATTGTAAAGATTTCTGAGGCTGCCAGACGTCCCCTAATTCTAAAGCCCAGCCAGAGGACACAGATTTGGATGGGAAGGACAATGAAGTCCAGTGCTATTACAGAAAGTTGAAGCGAATACCCTGGGATGGAGTCAGTGCATGTGATCCCAAAAGAAGATGTTTGGTTGTTGGAGACAGTGCTGTTCATGTTTCTCTTCAAGTTCAAGTGTTTCTAAAAGGCATCGAGAACAACAAATAATGGAATAGTAGCAATGAAAATACGTTCCAATGTAAAACAATAAGACCAAGAAATGTATTGATTAAATTACACTGACCTGATGTTGGACAGATGAGAGTGATTCCAGTGTCGTTCCTTCAGTGTCGATTCTCTCAAGTTGGTTTAATCAAATATGTCACAATTTTTTGCATCTGTATCTGCTTTATGAAAGGAAAAAATGCAAATTTGGAATGAAAAGCAGCATTTTAACAACATGTGTTCATTTGAGTTTGTGTTCACAGTTTATATTGCAGAATTTGACTGTGAATATCATATTTACTGCTCTGATTTGTTAATGACAATAGGATTGATGTGTATTGTGTCCATGGACATTTCAATCAACAACTATTTGTGTAGCGCTTTACAACAACCCTCAGATATCCAAAGTATTTCACATCAAAGATTAAATATAAAACAACATACCATAAACAGAATAAACATATAGAAAAATCAGAAAAATGTTGCCAAAGTAAAATGTCACACCACTGCTGAGTATCAAAAGCCATACTTACCAAGTAGGTTTTGAGTTTAGACCTAAAAAGTGTTACATCTGTAATTGTGTGAATATCAGGGGGTAACTTGTTCCAGAGTCTCGGGGCAGCAACTGCAAAATCCTGTTCACCCCATCGTTTAGATCTTGACTTTGGGACTTCTAAAACTAGATAATTTGAAGACCAACTCACGCAGGGTAAAAATCTCGGACAAATACTCAGGGGCCAGCCCATTTAAGCCCTTAAAAACAACTCGATATAAAGTGAAGATCATTGGAACTAACTAGTATTGACTCAAGTGTTACTACATGATCTAGTCATGATTTGTGCAACCAAACAGCCCGTTCTCATCCTTTAACGTCATATAGAACGCTTATGCAAAAACGGCGCTATACTACGCACATGGCACCCGTTATCGTTAATATAACACGCGAACCCAAGACGTTATAAATCCTTTAGCGTGAATATGACACGCCCTACCCCACACCTAAACTTAGCCCTCACAGCACGTGTTATATTAACGATAGCGGGTGCCATGTGCGTAGTATAGCGCCGTTTTGTCATATAGCGTTCTATATGACGTTAAAGGATGAGAATGCGTTGAACCAAACACTAAAGTCATTTCAAGTTTAGCAAATTTTTAATTGATTATACAACTTTGTTTTCAGCATAACAGACAATCTTTTATACCAAATAGAGTTGCAATATTGCAGTATGCTCATTATCATATAATTCAAAATTAATGTAGATGTATTATAGCGTCTCATTATTATTAACAGAATCATTACACTAATAAGCAGTTGATTTACATTCACAGAACATTAAAATTCTCAATATTTTCAAACGTTTTACAGTGCTTCATTCGTTACATGTACTTTATTCACATTTTCTACC